TTTTAGTTCACTGACTCGTGCTGGTCAAGGAAACAGGAACTGGGATGAGTAAAGTTTAAGATGTAAATCCGTGATAAAACCACAGAACAACTTTCTTTCTTATTCCTCATAAATACTACAAAAGTAGCTCTGATATTTACTTAGTTAAGACAAAACTTCACATTTTGTTTTACATACCTTGCTTATTTCAAATCCAAACACCTCCTCAAAGTAAGCAGGCTGACTAATTAGCAGCAAGTAAAAAGTCCAGCTTCTACAGAAGTTTGCAACTATTATTGCATAGACTGGCATGGATGTAAAAAATTTTCTCCACGGTGTTTTGTATTTCTGAAACACAGAAAGGGGATGCAGTTAGCATGTGATCATTGTCAAATATCCATCTTTCTTTTCATATAAACATGAACATTCATAGACATAAGTCCAAAATAATAATGTCTTTAAAAGACAATGATGTTGTATGTAAGGCAACAGTCAGATTTTACATTGCAACTACACAATTTCATCCAGATTTATTGCAAAAAGGCATTTCAGCATTTAAATCTTAATTGAAGTATTCTGCTTTCTTTTTTAACTGCTTGGTAAAACTGCTTGGTCAACATTTTTTTTGTTTGTTTTATTGTATTTTTAAAATAAATTGCATAATAAAAAACAACAACAAAAAAAAAGACAGATGGACAATCCTGCTGAGTCCCAGCACCTGTCCACSAGCCCAGAGTTCTGCCCATCTGTGTTGATCCAAATACAGGATCCATACCCAGAAAAGTGCTTGAAAATCACTTCAGCAAGAATTCAGGCTGGATTTAATCTACTATTGGTTTGAATATTGGCTTTTCCTCAGAGAAAAGCAGCCCATACATGGATATGTGCAATTCTTTGTATAAATTACACTTAAGTCAGAGGTAAGGATTAATTCACTTAATTAATGGGAAGCCAGAAAATTTAATGTGATGGTACGGGAAGAATTTCAGCTTAAATGTTTTAGAAGCAACTGAACTATTGATACAAAGTAATCACTTTTAAAAAAAGAAAAAAAAAGGTGATTTTTTAAATTGAAAAGCCACAATAAAAAATAGACAGAAATTATACAGCCCAAATTACAATTGCATGGACATCCTTTGAAGTAGCTCACTTCAACATCAGATTTTCAAAACCATGAGCACCACTGAATGCTATTGAATATCAACAGAGACAGTCCCTCAATGACACCTAAAAATGTCAGCTATCAAAGAAATTACTCTGTAATATTTTCAGTTCCTTGTTTAAYATGGAACAAAGTTTTTCATTAAGACAAAAATTGTTCATTCCTGAGTTCAATCAAGAACCAGGGTTCTGACTAAATAAAAAACATAATGAGGGTCTACTGGGAATGAACAGTGCAAAAATTTAAGCAGATGAAGTGAGGTTTAAACAATTTTTTTTAAAATTTTTCCTGAGTCAGCAAATATGGCAATAATTTCTTTAAAGCTTTCAGCAGTTACAGAAATAAATTATTTAGCATTATAGGAGTGTTAAGTGGCTGGAAAATTCTGAGTTCATATGAGGTTTTTAGCAGTTCTTGAGAGCTAAACCAGGACAGAACTCTTCAGATTATAAGAGGCTTGTTTCCAGCAAAATTACTGCAAAAATGGGAAATGTTCTTATGGATATCAAAGCATGCTCCATTGCAACTTTCTGGCAAAAGAAAAAACACAAAACAATAAGGACTGGCATTTTCTGATGTTCTGGGGACCTCAAGAAACACTGAATAGTGCTTTTTCTGCTGTTTGTTTTTAGGGAGAGGAAAACCTTCCAGAAATTACTGTATAGGAAGGAAACTAACTGCTTGGAGTCAAGATGCAAAGAAAAAAAAATCTAAATAAAGCTGCAGTTTCAAATAGGAAGCTGTACCTCTTTTTTATACTTTGGAGCAGAAAAAGAGGCATTAATTCCATGAGTCATCTGCTGGAAGAACTGGAACCTGTGCTCTCTGGGTGCAAAACCAGAAATACACCAGCAGATTTCAGATCTTCCCACCCTCCAAAAATGCAGCTGTTCCAATTGTGCTTTTTGGTGTTAAACAAGAGTGATTTTTTGGTTGGTTTTTTTTTTATTTACTTGGGTGCTGGGATTTTTTTCTTACAGAAAAGGATGTGTGAGCAATATTCTTACTTCCATTGCACCGAGGAGGTTGGCACTCTCTCCAATGCTCTCTTCTATGTATCTCCTTTCTTCATCTGTGATCGTRGGGTGCTTGGCAGGGCTCTCATATGAAACCAAAAGCCAAAACATGTACCAGACTATACCAAAGCTCCCTTTGGGATGGAAAGAAAGACTTTGAAAAGAAACGTACAGTAAAGCAGTGAAACAAGGAAGAAAAATCTGAGAGGAATTGYGACAAATTTAAAAGGTCAGTGCTTCTTTACTGAGTTATCTCAGTAGAGGTAACTCTGCAACAGAGAGTTTGATCCTGTGAATAACACTTGTGCAAAATTCATGCAGGGCTGGAGCACAGTGAGGTGTTCTCTGCTTCATTTACAGGATGGTTTCACCATAAGTGAATATTCACTGATCTTGACATAAATTTGTGCAAGGCAATGCAAGGAAACTGCTCCCATTTCATCCCACCAAACTGTAAATGAAGGTCCATTCTGCCTTAAGATGCTGTTTGATTAGTTTGATTACTGCACTACATTTTTTTATCAGCAAAATAGAAGACTCCAGGATTTTTTTCAACATAGCTATGCACTTCCTGARTAGTTTATTAAATTTCTATAGCATAAATTTCTATAAGGTTTCCACCTGATTCACATAAATGCAGAATGAATTCCCTCGGGGAGTTCTTTTCCATCAGTGCAGGTTAACACAAGTGTGGATAAAGTTATGTAGGTCCTCAGGTAAAAAACGGGACAATTTATTCAGGGCAGGGACTCTAAATTTGCAGTTTTATAAATGTTAAGGTAAGCAGAGATAGATCTGAGCACAGATCTGCACAGAWTCTGCACTGCTTGTGCTGAAAGGGATGAAGAGTTTGCTCCTCTTCTCATTTCCTACACACTCTTCCCTTTAAATCCTTTTCTTCCATTGTTCTTTTYCCTGGCCTGTATTTTTAGCTTTGCAGTCCCACTTCTCTGGGCTTTTTTGTCCTCTTAGCAGTAGCTTTCCCATTTTTAGAAAGGGCAGAGAGAGGTCACACAAGGCTGGAGCGAAAGGAGCAGAAATGCGTACCATACACATAGAACACAGAAGACCACCCCGTGTATTGCACTAGAATCCCAGCTAAAGGCATTGCAATGACAGCTCCTGCATAGGAACCTACAAAACAAGACAAGTAGATGAAAAAAAAAAAAAAAAAGGAGAATAAAGTCAGTTTCAAACCAGGCGCCCATTGCGAACGAAAAAAAAGGCAAAAATAGGAAGTTACTTACCACAAAAGGAAGTGGTTGCTAACCTACTTCTTTCTAATGGGGGGGCCCACTTGCTCCAAATGCCGTGGCAGGCAGGGTAGGTGACCCCCTGGGGAATGGGTGTGCCACAAGTTAGCTAAAGCTGATCAGTTCATCATCGTCTTTGCATGAGCTGTTTTCATTTTTAATCGCTACAGACAAAAAGCTGAGAACGCTTTGCACTTTCATAGCAAAGTCCGAGCGCAGCCACAGAAAAAAATTCAACGTCTACTCGAGTTGAAATGGGTTTTGCACAGCACAACAAATCATTTAAGAGATCTTATGAGACARATATAAAACACTTTGCCTTTTGCTCCCCCTCCCACTTCCAGGAAAAGGAATTATTTGCAATTAATAGAAGAGGAAGAGTATTAGTGCACAAGAGCCACAGTCAAAAAAAGGGTTAAAACAAAGACCCTCTGAAGAATTTCTATTGCAGGACAGATTTATCCAACCCTGATTTTTTTTTTAACCAACATTTAAAGTATAATTTGGGAAATACATATTAAACTGCCACTGCTCTAAAATTAGAAAATAAGATGTGTAACAGCTTAGAAATATAATTTTAAGAGAGAAGTTTTTCACTCTGTCTTTAACAAGCCTTCTTGAGCACATAAAGGAAATAACTGACTGGTGTAATTTGACTTGATTTTAAACCAGCTGCATTTTAGGTGACTCTATAAAACCAGCCTTTAACTCAGCAATAGAAAAACTCAACTTGCAGTGTTGAAATTTTAGAAAATGTAATATGAAATGTACAATAATTGTCCATGAAATTCCTGATTAAGAATTATGGTGTATGCATACACACCATATATAGATTATATAGGTTATATGGATTCACTTTTCTCCTAATCTGATTTTTTGTTTCTTCTGCAAAAAGTAGAAAAAATTAACAACTTCTTGCAAATATTGAGGGCATCACAAGTGTTGAGATTATGACCTTCAATATTCAGAAAGTTGTAAAAAACCTTTTGCTGTTTTGGGAGAAGATCCTGTAACCAGTCTCATGTTCCTTTCAGTATTTTACCATTTWAAAAAAAATATATAAAGATGTAATCAAAAGATTGCCATGATTTATCATCAACCTTTTTCCAAAAGTCTTGTTTGGAATGTTTGGCATTTATAATTCCTTTGAACAGTATCCGAGAAAGGTGTGAGTCTACAATAGCTATTTTATTTTGTAATTACCCACTTCTCTTCCTCTCATCTTTGCAGYCAAAAGATGGATCACTTGCCAGGAATGGATCCAGATTTATACACACATRCTTCAAGAAATTGGCTGACAGCCACCTGAATTTCAGGCACATTCTGTACCCCCTTTTGGAATATTTTTATACAATAAAGTACATTGGTTAAAAGCAATTAATGCAGCAGAAGTTGTGTGACCCTGAGGAGCAAAGAAGCATCCATCACAGGACTAAAAATTTGTTGTTTTGGGAGGAGGGAGGGGAGGAGGAAGAGGAAGAGGAAGGGGAAGGGGAAGAGGAAGGGGAAGGGGAAGGGGAAGAGGAAGAGGAAGAGGAAGAGGAAGAGGAAGAGGAAGAGGAAGAGGAAGAGGAAGAGGAAGAGGAAGAGGAAGAGGAAGAGGAAGAGGAAG